ATATTGGAAAATTTTATCAATACGGAATAGGGATTCCAAAAAATCTCGAGATAGCTTTAAAATGGTATCAAAAGGCTTATGAGAATGGACATGATATAGCTGCTGAAATGGTTGAATCTTTTAATTTTGATAAAATTTTCCAAATTGATGGTTAAACTTTTTTTAATTTTTGTTTTCTATCATCAAATTCTATAGAATAGTTCATTTTATCTATTTTTAAATATTCGTTTTGAAGACATTTATTAATTGAATTCTGATTTATAAATCTGCATACCATTCAGAAACTTTTTAATGCTCCGTCATTGATATATTTCACCATTGTCGCCTATAAATTTGTTGGACTAGAGAGAATTTTTTTGTATAGTTGTCTTTATAAAATGACTTTAATTTTTTAAAAAACTAAACTTTATCTACGGAATATTCATTCATATTTTGGCAGATAACATTTTTTTGAACTCGAAATTTGTGCTGCTTCTTTAGTATGTATATTGGAATCCTCATAAGTATGTCCATAAATAGTAGCATTTTGTTTGTTTTAGAGAAGATAATTAGATCTCATGTCATAGTTAAAGTATTTCCCATTTCTTTTATTTGCAAAAAAATTTTTAATAACAATATTTAGAATAAATCTCTTCTTAGATTATAGTTTTTATTAGGAAAATTTATCAAATTGCTGTTTTCAGCAATAGATTATTTATTTAGCAAGAATATAACTATTATAAGATTTCACCTGATTCATGATTTTGTTTAATGCTCGAAATAAGAACCTTTTATTGTTCAGAAATCATGTTTTATTTTTTAATTATCACCATTTTCTTCTGATGAACAGACAATTTTGTTCTCATAATGTCTTATTGTCTCGGCGGTATTTTATCATGAATTTGTTGCTTTTTTTGAAGGAAGCTGAATATTGATATCGATATTTACATGAACAAAAATTGGTCGATTCATTTAATATCTAAACAAGAAATCTCGTGATGCAGTCTTGTGATTATAAAGAGAGATTGTTATTGTAAATGATTTGTCGCATAAAGTTGGTGAGTATATAAAGGATTGTGGCTATAGAGGACATGCTTATTCATGTACATGTATACATATATATATTGAACAGGGAAATTTTATTTTTTTCGGTATTTAACTGTATATTGTAAAAGACATTTATATGGAACACGACATATTCCCGGCTGGTGCAAATTTATTATTGAAAAATAGTGAAATCTTATTCTAGAAAACCGATCAACTCTGAGAATTTTAGACTTTATGCACACCACAAAATTGCTGGGAGGGTGGGGAACCGAATTCTTACACTTTCAATACTGCATCTTTAAAACATATGAAGAAATAGTGCTTTAAACTAGAAAAGCAGAAATTTATTGAATAAAACATGCCTACGAATGTAAAAAAATCCATTCAAATGCAATTTATTTTCAGCACAAAATTGATCCAAACTGATAAATATAAACATCAACATACATCGATATAGTCAACTCTTATCGACCGAAAATCAAGAGTTAGTAATTTTATATTAATTAAAATTTTAGCAAATATTTAGGCATGTATTAAATGAAGGCAAAAAATATTATTTATCTATTATTATGTAATTTTTACATGTAAAGCAGATTCCGATATTTAGTACATGTACATGTACATGTACACATATACAAAGCGAGATCAAGAAAGAATTTTTATTTCGCTAGCGCTAGACATATACTGTGCATTTATGCATGCATTGTGAATTTATGAGATCAGCCATATCTTATATGGACTCTGCATAAAGGAAAGAATTTGCCTACATTCAAAATTTATTATTTATATATTGCTTACTAATTTAAAATGACATTTCGCATTATCATATGAAATTAGCATATGATATTTATTTTTGGCACTATAAGAAATATAAAATTATATACCGTAGTTCGATACATAACCATAAGTCTCGCTCGATAAAGGTCTTCCTGTTTTTATTAATAGTTTTCTTATTTTACTAATTAAACTTTCTTGTGAAATGTAACAGACACTGGACAGTTATGCGGTATTTTACTAATTAAACTTTCTTGTGAAATGTAACAGACACTGGACAGTTATGCGGTATTAAAATATCTCAAAATTGTATTAACATATTCAAAGTTGGATATGTACACCTCCCCCACCAAAAGTCTTCGGCAGTGTTATATAATCAAGATTTTAAAAAATAGTCAAATCAAATTTTCTTAACAACTTTATTTATAATACTTAATAAAATTTATATCACTCAAATCATCTAATTATGAGTTAAAATATTCAGTTCTTTCTTCAAGAGAATCTTTTCTATTTTCTCTGGCCTGATGTATAAGAGGGCGCTCCTTACGATCAGACAAAAGAGATAATCTCTCAGAATGAGCAGTAACATCTGTAAGACCTTTTTTATGAAAATTGTTTATGACATTCTGACAAGTAATTCTGGGTATTTCTAAAACTTCAGAAATATCAGGAGTGCCATGATTGCTCTTGGAAAGTCCAATGATCATTTCACGTTTGAAAATGGCTAGTTTACGATAATTTGTCATTTTTTTCTAAAACCATATAGGATAAGAGACTAAAACAGTTTTATTTTCGAAAAGAGTTGGTTTCTAGCTATTCGAGAAAAAACGTGCTTTAAATTTAGCTAAATTGATAGAATTTTATTGGCTAATTCTGTACTGTCGAAGACTTTTGGTAGGGGGTGTATAAGTAAAAATAATGAAAATACTTAAAATGATAACAAAGAAAACAATTTTTTAAAAGAACAAGCGTTCTTTTTTGATAATGACTAATTTTATTGAAGTTTTCATCATGAATTTGTAAATTTTCTTGAAAGTCCTTTGATTTCTCTTCATTCTCTTAAAATTAGTTTAGTATTATAGAATCAGGGCAGCAATTTTTATTCAATTACATGATTATTATGATTATTAGCAAGTATATGCATGTATAAATTTAGCATAATGGAAAATAAAAGCATGTATATGGTTTCATCAATTTTTCCATATCTCTAATTTTCTTTCATAATCGGCTACAACCGATCCAACATTCTTCATAATCCCGGTTATTAAATTCAATAAGTATCACTGGGTATAATATTAAACCAACATTTAATCGATCGAATCGAATCTGTGCTTTTGGAATTAATAATGAATTTGTAGACTTGATCACTGTAATCCGTTGTTCTTTATATTTTCTGTTATTATAATTTGTATTAATTCAGTTTTTTGGTTGTACTTATTTGTGGATTTTTAAATAGAAGGAATATAATAAGTGAGCTACATTTTTGGCCTGCCCTGTAAAAGACCTTTAAAGAATGACATTAATATATGCGTACCAGATATGAACAGAGAATTCGTTTATTTGAAAATAAAATAATGATAAATTATTATGTATTATAATGGAAATATACGCTATGATCAAACCCCATAAACAAAATTAATACGTGTATTATGTAAACATAATACAGTACGTATACGTATAGTCCAAACATCACATTCTGTCAACTTCTTAGATGGTTATATTTTTTATACAGTACATATCGATATGGCGTGACAATTACATGCGATATGCTACGTCAAATCTATAACACATTTTATTTATGATCATGTGTAAAAATTGGTTTGATTGTACAATTATGACAATATCTTCTGCGTGTCACCACAAGGATTTAACCTGAAAGACGACCTAATGGCAGCCATCTCTTTATGAATTAGAAAAAGCTAATGATTTCGATCAGTTTACTTTAGAGATAATTGAATTCATAAACAGATAATCATATGGAAACAATAATAGCGTTAATGGCAAAGGCTCTAATAAATGAAAAAAGCCCAGAATGTATTACTGTATCAGAATTAAAGTTTAAAAAACATGTAAGGAGCATACAACTCGTCAATAGCTTTGATTTTATAATTTTGAATAAAATGCAATTCATAATTCCTAAATCTCATATTCCATTTATATGCAAGAAGTTTATTTTATATAATAACAGAAATAAAAGCTTTACATATTTTCATTAAAATAAATTTTTAGTTATAATTGAACTTGACTGACTACATGTATATTATTTATATATTAATTTGTCATCAAAACTTTTAAATTAGCTTACTAAGAAATAAATTTATTGACTTTGATAAAATCATATGTAAAGCATTTATTCTAATTTTAAGATGGATAAATTTTTTCAGGGTTGAATCTTGAACAGTTTGGACAACTTGTCCAAGTTTTTACACGCTCGGAAAATTTGATCTCCGATTACATCGCCGACCTGAATATCAAATTTGTCCTATATGATGGTTTTGGATAATAATCATATGGTAGCGGTACATGTATATCCGTGAGAACATAAATGTACATACCAAACTTTGGAATCAGCCACAAAACGAATTCATTGCTAACGTTAATAAAATGTTGATTTTATATGGTACTCTGCTATTCGCGTTACTTGGATATATCTTTTTGAAAAGAGAAAGAAAAAATAATAGTGGGGGATTAAAAAGTTTACCTGAGGTGCCGGGGAAAAAACCGCTTATTGGTAGTTATCTGTCGTTTGCTCGAGTTTTTGCGTTTGATAATTATTAACTTTATTTTCCGTGTCTCAGGTCACATTCTATCAGTATTGCGTCCGGATTTTCACAAACGGTAAGTTAAAAGTTAAACATGTTACCCACAAATATTCTAAATCAATTTATAGATGTGCAGAATGGAAATATAAATTGGGAGATATTTATCGAATCCAAGTGGGCAACAGCAACATTATAGTACTTAATAGTCCGAAAATTGTTGGAGATTTGTTTTATAAACGTAAATGATTTTAATTTTTATATACAATAAAAAAAATGTTTATTACTAAAGATTTGTTTAACAGGAGGCGCTAGGTATTCGTCACGCTCTGGACATTTTTTTCTCTGGAAAACCATTGGACGAGAGATATGTTTCGTTTTTTCGCCCTATAATGATTGGTATAAAAAAATGACACCAATAGGTAATTTTATGATTAGATCGTTTTGAAAAATTAATTTTGAATCTAAATTATTTTAATTGAAAGTGCATGGAATCCTAAGCAGAAGAAAAATAGAAACTTACATTGATTTAATCACGGAATGCCGCGATGATTTAATAATCAAAATTAAAAATGCGCAAAATCCTGAAGGAATATTTCCACGTTCATACCTAGAGCACACAACACTAAACATTATCCTCAACGTTCTCTATGGCACGAAAACAAACTTCCAAGATCCCTTACACCAAAAACTCATTTCGTTGACTAATGTCTGGCTCAGCTATGCCTCCGTCAAATCTCGAATTTATGATTGGTTCCCGTTTTTGCAAAAATTTGTTATGTCCGGTGCTTTGGAGCACCGCGACGAATGGGAGAAGGTTTTGGGAGAGTTATTGGAGAAGGTTAAGAGAGATGAAAAGAAGACTCCTTGCGCAGCGAGAGCTCTTTTGGCGAAAGTCGAAGCAGGGGTGATTACGGAGTTAGAAATTAGCCATTTAGCTATTAGTCTACTAATTGCAGGGACAGTATGTATTTCCTTTAATATTTTACAATGTTGAATGGTATTCATTTTTTATGTTAAAATCTGATCATTTTAGGAAACCACAGCAACGAGTATTACTTGGATTATTGCTGCAATTGCAAATAATCCCGAAATCCAACTTCGCGCACAAAAAGAACTTGACTCAGTTGTGGGCCAGTTAAAACTTCCATCTCATGAAGATATTTCTTCTCTTCCATATATTCGGGCAATAGTTAAGGAAGGTCTACGCTGGGCACCAGCGGTACATATAATCTTTCTTAACCTCGTGTTGCCCGCTTTAATTAAAATGAAAACAATAGCTTTATCTTTTATCTTTTTTCTAGATACCAAGGGGAGCAACGCATACAATAGAACAAGATGACGAATACATGGGATATCACATCCCGAAAAAGAGTTTAGTACAACTAGGCATGTTTTCGATACATTCTGATCCAGCGCGATATCCGAATCCACATATTTTTAGTCCAGATCGGTATTTAGGTGTTATAGAGAGCGCGGCGACTTTGGCTCAAGGAAATCCGGAAAAGCGAGATCATTTTGCATTTGGTGCTGGACGAAGGACTTGCACTGGGATCCATTTGGTGAGTTTCTCATTACATTATAGCATGTCAGAACATAAGATACTTATCCGTACATGTATTATATAATAGGCTGAATTGGAACTTGAATACTTGATCGCATCTATACTATCTGCTTTCAAAATCGAGATTCCTCACTCAGACGACGAAAGTTCGCCCAGACTCATAGATGTAAACAGTTATTCATTCATTGGAGGCGCGCAATGGATAAATCCATATAAAGTTTGCTTCAATCCAAGATATTAATCAAATTAAAGAATAAGGTAATTAAATTAGTTTATTAACCTTGAGCATATACCATTAGAACAGTACAATATATATAATTTACGACCAGACCAGAATGCGCATTTAGTGAGGTTCCTTTGTATACCTTTCTATTACGTCGTTGCTCGCTAGTTCAGGCAGCGACACCTGTAATTCTTTTGCTTGTTACTATTGTTAAGCTGATTCAGTGCGAGGATGGGTGCCGTCCAACATTCCGACACCATCTTCGCAACAATCCAACATCCCGACAATCCATCTTCACGACAAACCTAACTTCCCAACATCCCGAAAAAACTAAGTTCAATTTCTGGTTTACGTCTGGCAATTGGGTGCGGGAAGTTTTAGGTATAATTAAAATAATAGTTCAATTTAATAAGATTAAGTCAAATTTAAACTCAAATCTTAAGCTTAAGCTTAGTTTGAATTTGATTTTGATTTGGAATTAATACAAGTTCAAATATTAATATCAAGTAGAAGGGGATACTCTGGCCAAGTTAAGATTACAATTAGGAAATTTCTTACAAATTACACGAATATTAATATATTTATTATAGCTGAAAAGCATAGTCAATTTTCTGGAATATGATTTTAATGATAAATCACCTGTGAACATTATTTGATATGAAAGCTCGTGCTCCTTTATAAATGTCGCGCGTATATGACAAAGATCACGACTTCGTTCACCAAATGGTCATTCACCAGTTACAATTTAGTACACAACTATTCCAAAGCATAAATATCTGCTGTGTTAATGTATAAACTTTCCATTTAGCACCTCCGGACTCATATAAGGAAGTCCAAAAATTATTTGGTTAGATTCTTCTATATTTGTTGGAATCCGAGGAATATTATCATCAACCACATTAACAAAACATTAATACGTTTGTCACTTATATAATTTGCCCTTTGATTGAACTCTTGATACTATGTCATGTCCAAAATTTTTTAGTTCAACTAGCTTATTAAAACTCTCTTATATTCTTTCATTATCCTTTCATTCCTTGTTTGAATTCCTTATCACTAATAATCATAACTTAAAATTTAGGATCGAACCCGTTCTTAAAAACTTCACGCGAGTTATCCGTAGGTAACCTAAGGGTATATCCGGGGTAGAATAATTTTTGCTCGTATAAAAAATTTATTGATATTTTTATGAAAAATATTATAAATAGGTCAATTTTTAACAGAATAATATCTGGGTTTAAATGTTAAGATGTTGCTGGAATTAAGATATTTTGTAATATCATCACCACAAAAAAATTTTCATAAAATTGAGTCTTTTTAAGATTTAGGTAATTTTGAATTTCCATTTCATGTCGTCGACGTTAAAAAGAATCAATTCAATTAATAATCATTAATGTAGCAAATTGATAAATAAATTACCTTCATTTGCTTCGTTTTGAACTATAAATTCACATTTTTAGATCTGGCATTGATAACTATACCATATTCAGTAATTACATATTCTAGAGTTAAATATAAATAAGTATTTAATAACCTTTAACTGTATACAGTAATGCATATAATGATTTTATCTTCGTTCGTATTATTTGGAACATGCAAATTGAAACTTGTAAAACTTAAATAAATATTTGATAAAGCTTTTAAAAATTTACTTTTGTCTGAATATTGTAAAAATAAATGTATGTATCAGTTGGAATTGATACCAATTTTGAAGTAAATCTTTCGACTGGTGCAAATTGCATTGGAGTGGATTTGTTTTTTTTGCTTATATTCGTAATTTCTTCATGTGCTCTAGAGCAGCAGTGCTGAAAATGCAAGGTATCAGTTACACTTTTCTTCATTGTTATTTACGAGAGTGTCATGAAGTTCCTCAGCAGTTGGTCTGTTTCTGGAATAGAATCCTGAACATTATTTGATAGCTTAGGTCGTACTTCTCTATAGATGTCATATACAAGATAATCATCATGACTTCGTTCGCAAAATGGCAGGTCACCAGTTACAATCTCGTACATAACTATCCCAAGCTATAAACATCTGCAGCTTTTGTGTATGGCATTCCATTTAGTATTTCTGGACTCATATAAGGAAGTACGCCAAAAATTTCTTGGTTAAATTTTTTAATACCTGCTGGACCAGTGAGTCAATAAAATGCAATAATAAATTTTCAGGGTGAAAGTCGCAATGTACAAATCCTTTTTATGCAGACCATCGATAAACCACATAAAAACTCCAACTTTATGTTCCAACTCACATCTTCACGTTTGCAATTAAGGTATTTGCGAAGATCGTCATTGATTGCACGAGTCAATATTCTTCCATAGTTGGGTTTTTAGTAATTCCATACAAGATACAGAGTAATCTGAATCTATTTTAGAAAAGTTGATCATCACGTCACGCTTACATATTAATATTAAAATGGTTCATATTTTTTAAATTCTACTGTAATTTTCGGTAAACGGTCCACATCCCCGAATCCGAAATCCCGAACGTTCATTAGCCCGAAACACGAAATCCCGAATGAAAGACATCCCGAAAGTATAATCCATGTATTAATGAAATAATAAAATTATTACGGAATATACGTCCTTGCGGGATTCATACTTTCGGAATGTCGTTCATTCAGGATTTTGTGATTTGGGTTAATGAACGTTCGGGATTTCGTACCAGACCCTTTTTCCTTAAATCATGTAACGATTTCAACAAAACTTCCCAATTCTCCATCTACAGTTAATGGTCCCTCCAGCCAGGTTGCTTTATAAACTGTTGCAAAACCTCCCTCTGCAAGATATTCAACGTTGACAAATTTTTCAAATTTGAAGAGCGTTTGAACTTTCATGCATTCTTCATTAGACTGTCGACATCTTTATTTTCATTAGTCCGTCCAGTTTTATATAATTGATTGTGACAATCAAAACACTCTTCGCAGTAATTATTCTTCTGACACTAAGCGCATTTATAACAGTCACGATGTTCTCTAAATCTATTTTGCATCATCGAAAAAAAATAGCAGTTAATTAAAAGACTGTACTTGTAGAACCTTAAATATTTGATATATTTAAAATGTCGTTTTAATTGAATATACAGTAAAAATAAATGTACGAACCTCTATCAGTTACGATTGATGTTAATTTTGAAGTAAAGATTCGACTATTGTAAATTGCATTTGAATGGATTTGTTGTTTTTTGTTTATATTCGTAGGAATGCTTTATTGTGACTCATTATCATGGTTTTTCAAATTGTTGCCTCTCTAATTTACTACACTTTTTGATTTTTTCATTTGCTTTAGGAAATTCTAACGAACTGTAATACTGAAAATCAAAGATTTCACTTTTCTTCATTGTCATATGTGATAGAGTAGATAAAGTCCCAAAGTCATTTTTCAATAATAAATTTGCACCATCCGGGAATATTATTTGATAGATGTCTAATACGAGAGTTCTATTATGACTTCGTTCATAGAATGGCGGCTACCAATTACAAGCTCGTACATACCCATCCCAAAACTGTAAATATCTATAACTGTATTAGTATATGGCTTTCCACTTAACATCTCTGAACTCATATATGGAAGTATTCCATAAATTTCGTGATTTTTTATATCTGCTGGTCAGTAAGACCAAAAATTGCAATGAATGCATCAACATGAAACAATAGACAATTCATCGTTATAAACTCGTTTGCGACACATGAATAACAGTCGTGATATCCTTGACAACGAGCACACATACTACAATCATGAATATTGTGAACTAAGCACTCATCGCGGTAGGAATTATCAATTGCCCTGTTTGAATCTATTTTTGAAAATTTATTAGAAAAAAAAGTAACTGGTTTTCACTTAGAAAATGTTATAAGTTCTGGCGTAATTTGCTTTAAATTATGTAATGATTTCAACACGACTTTGAATTTTCCTCTTTGTTTAAATTTATTTTCTTTATGATCCCAACAAGGATACAATGGTTGTCCATCCATCCAGGTTGCTTTATAAGTTGACCCAAAACCTCCTTTTGCAAGATATTCCACGTTGGCAAATCTTTTAAAAGGAATCCATTTGAATATATTATCATATGTATAATTATTTTTGCTGGATTCTTTTGTTAGATAGTCGATATCTTTATCTTCTCTAGATAATTTATCGTTATAAATTCGTTTGTTATATTTGAAACAGTCATTGCAGTCATTTTTTTGACATTTGAAACCTTTATTACAATGACTAGTATTCGCACCCATCTTTGAGCTCACTTTATAAAATGCGAATTGCTTGAAATGGAAATGTTGTCGTTATGCACATATCGCTATGGGTACATGTGCTGATTCAATTTCTATGTGTGATAAAGAACATTTTACATGTACAGTACATGTACAATGCAATTACATGCGCTCATGCTACGAATCCGGAAATTTTTACTATCAAAGAAAAAATTTTTCTCTTTTTTTAAAAGTCTAAAAAAATCAGGAGTCTTTTCTTTCAATATTCAAATCGCTAAATTACAGTAAAACTGAGCATCTGCGCGTTATTTCGGTCATCTGCGCATTATCTTGGTGACGCTCATGTGGTTTTTTTGAAATAAAGGGTCGATTTTCTAAACCTGATCTTTTCAAAAAAAGCCATGGACGACATATAATAGAGTGTTTATTTGGATTTCTCTCATTTCTATAGGCCTAGCACGAAATCCCCGAATCACCAAATCCCGAACGTTCATAAGCCCTAATGATCGAAATCCGCCCAAACTCCCGAGTGCCCAAAATCCCGAATATCCAAAATTTCGAAATTCTGACATATACAACATCCCGATATTCCTAAAAAACAAATAGAATAAATGTAAAGGTACTTGAATATGAAGGGAAATATAAGGTTTGCGTTAGTACAAATCTCACCATTTACATTCGTTACACGGGCCTACATACATGTTACACTTCGCATCAATGTTTTATTGCATAATTTTGAGTGTAATATCCCGATTCGGGATTTTGGAAATGTCGGAATGTTGGGCGTTCGGAATGTCGGGACGTTAGGAAGTCGGGATTGGGGTAGATCCATTAAAAAAAATGAATTATACGACTTGCCCTAATTAACGATAAATTAAATGTAAAGTATTTCGGGACGCACATGGACGTTATTTTGAAACAAACTGCCCATGCTCGTTATTTCGCGGTTTTATGGTGATATAAAAAAGTGTCAACTATCGTTTTCATGTTAGATCAAGTCTATTTTAACAGTTTCAATTTAAAGAAATATTCATATTTGACACATACTTAGTTTGAACTACCGCTATTGCTTGTAACGGGTGAGTTTTAAGAGTAATAGAAAAAGAAAAAAAAGACCATTAAATTTGTTTTTTTTAATATACTGATACTTTTTATAATTGCGAGTACAGTATTGGAAAAAAAACCTTTGATATTCGTGAAAAGATATATTACTATTTTTAAACAATTGTTTTTAAAATTGTAAGTTTGCGTCTTTACGGTATATTTTTCCCTAGATGATTAAACATTAAGAAAACAATAAATAATTAAAAAATTGAGACATCTATTCTATGATAGCAAATGCTACCGTCAAATTTTTTTCTTGAATCGATTCATTCTATTAATTCTTTCATTACTCATTAGTTAAATCATGTGTCCGCGGCACATTTTCACCACCTTCAGCATGGTCGTCCGGAACCAAACAACTTAACAACTCCATTAAAATCTCGCTACTCATCGGATACGCGCGCACATTTTGAGCGACATTACGAAAGCCAGTCGTATTACGAACTCTGCTGAAATTATCGGTGACATATTTGAACACGATTTCTTTGATGTCAGGCCATTTCCATGCGGATTGAAACAAGATCTCAGCGGCGTTGTTGATGTTTAGTTCGTGGAAGATTTTGACTTTTGCTCGTTCTCGTAGATCGGGGATTATGTATTTATCAGCTATAGAGAATAGCTGGATGATTTCATTTATATAATTATACTTTAGTAACAATTGCATCAGAAAGCAAAAGAATTCAAATAAAATCTGGATACACTGACATCAAATGCTGTTTGATGCGAGTCTTTTCTTTTGTTGAAAGTCACTTGGTCTGTGTATAAGAATCTCAACATCTCCAGAAAAGTCTGATGATTAAAATCCAAAATATCAATAACATAACGGAATTCTTTGGTCTTCTCCGTGGTATTCCTGACATTCTTGTTGTTATCCGAACCAGATGTTAGGTTATCTTTGGTTTCTTTACTCAACCCACTATTGTTGCTAATATTTGCATTTGAACTTGATTTATCAATCGAAGTATTCCCCAGAGAAGACTCACTCATGTCTCTTGTATGTCGTGTAAAGATTTGCCGGTTCGGCGTCTTTTTGGTTTTAGTTTCAGACCAAGCTCCGTTAAACATTGTATTAAAATACTCAGAACGACGAGAGAGTATTCCACTATTCGCGTAAATTGTTCGTCCGTTTATGTTGAATTGTGTATCTGCGGTGTCTGCGTTATTTAGCTGATCGCCCCAAGCCTCGACAAGATCTTTGGGTAGCGGACGACCGGGCAGAGTGACAGTATGTGCTACAAGACCTATGTCTGCGTTCTCGAATTCTACACCGAACACTAGTTCACCGTGTCCGGGAAGCTCGGAATTATGACAGAAATCTTTCCATCCTAAAAAAGTGCAAAAGTTCTTTTAAATCAAATCCTAGATCTTTATTTAGTTAGAGTGAAAATAACCAACCAAATCCACGCCTTGTAGCCGAAAATCCATTCAACTCTGCTCGTCCAATATCAATTTTCTTTTGAGTTTTCGGATCTTTTAGAAAAATTGTGGCGCAATACATATCGCGATTTTTCCATATCCCTGTCGTATTTTCTTCTTCTGGATTCGGAATTGCTCGAAGACCAAGCGAGCAAAATTGTGGGTGATCGGGAGTAGACTAGATAAATTTCAATGAATAAATACCTTCATTATACAGTGTATTTATGAAAAACTCTACTTACCGGATTAAACACTAATTGCCAAAACATTTCATTAGAAGTGGCGAACGGCGGACTGTATACATCTCCAACGAGTTTCGTCACCTCGTAAATGGTAAACTCGAATGAACCTTTACATTTTAGTGACGACATTTTTGGAATTTTTTAATGTCAATATTTTTACTTCCTTTTTAGATTCAAGCGAATATTAGGATTTTTACAATAAGAGAGATCAATATTGGAATGGCGTTAATACCTCGATTAAGAAAAAAAAAGATGATATCATGTATCAATATCAGCGCATCGCATAAATACTGTATTTTAAATATATCGATATACAGCCAAACAATAATAATAATGTTCGGTTGGTCTAATTCTAATGCACATGTGTATGCCCCATGTTTGTAAAGTACCCGATTTTTGGTACGACATCCCTACATGAGCTATTGATGCTGACACATACTGTAAAACGGTAAGGTTATAATTAATATAATTTTGGTATGATCTGCTAACGATACCAGGCATATTCGATTCTCATGCCACGTGATTATCTGAAATAAGTTAGCCTAGCGCTAAATTTTCGACGTTTTAGTAACAGAACAAAAAATACAGTGCAAAAAAAATTGGAATTACAAATTGCCCTAAATTAGAAGAGAGATATTCTCCTGAAATCAGCTAATATCTTATAAACGAAAATTTAAAATTAAATAAAATGTTACCATGCTAGGTCTTACATATGTACGCAGTGTGGTATGAACGCTTAATTGTAGTACTGATATTCTTTGACAACTTTGACATTTACATGTATTACATTGATCACGATTAGTTCTGTATTCGTAATATTTATTATACATGTATTTATGACTAGAATTGGACACCGAAACTATATGTCGATAGTTAGGTTATAGTTCCGAGATATAAAACCATAACCGAAATTATAGCTGAAACTATTTGAAATAGTTTAGGAACACAACTCTATTTGTGACTCATTCGAAATATGAAAATGTGTAGCGCGTCTTTCCTCATTAAAATTGCTGCATAAAAAACTTTTATGATTAATTGTTCGAACGTGTATTAATGCATGTTATAATATATAATATATATTATCATTAGATAATTCTTAGATAAATATTTTAAAAACTATTTATTTATTAAATTTTCTGTATAATCATTTTGTCTAATTATGTAAATTTAATAAACATGTCTAAAAGGGATCTACTCAAAATCCCGACGTCTAAAATCTGAAATTCCGAAATACTCCCGCCATATCAAAATTATATAATGGATGTAATAAATGCGAAATTTAAATAATATTTCATATTGTATTTTGACAGCCCTCATGATCAGGTATAAAATAAAAAAATTCAAAACAAACGTTCGTTTTGAAAAAGCGTGTTTCGCAAAATTAGCCCAATAAGCTATCTTTTGTGCCCTAACATAAAGTTTTCCTTGTGCAATTTGCTATTGTAAATCTTAGTAATCCTAACTCTTATCCAAACTGAATACTTACGAGATTTTTACCTTTACTTCTTCTGATATCGGACCAATCTGTGACCAGAAAATTTATCCTATTCCATGACCTCAATATCATACCATATTTTACCGCCGCAAATTCAAGTCATTGCTGGACAAAATTGTAAGAGACCTGGGTACACAATTTTAAAAAAGGCTCGGACACAAATTAAGTGAGAATCTGTAATTGTACTAAAGTGAAAACAGGTTTCTTTTTGTGTTCTAATAGAATCAGGTTTTCAAAAATAGATTCAGACCGTGCTTTAATGCTATAATTTCGGCTATATTGTCACGCTCAATTCAGAAGTTAGTTGACTAAAAAATTGTAGACACGAGAGCTAGACTGAATGATTTACACAGAACGGATTCCATCGGTATTCTAAAGGTCTTCTATGCCAATATACACGATCAAAGAGCAAAGAATTCAATGGGTGTAAAGGAAAGTATGGATAATAATATTTACGTCAATTAACAATAATTGCTAACAAAAGATAACATAACGAAAAGAAGCAATTTACTAATAATAATTATTCCAAACCACAGAAGTACATTTATTCTAAAATAATAAAAAACAAAATGATTAACGATATATTTACGTCAATGATAATCCAAGAATCAAACGATCAAACGTGGTTCATCAATTGTCAAAGCAGTAAATTGTTAAACACAAAAGGAATCGATTTTGTTAAGATACAAAAGAAATAAAAGCTGAAGCGAAGAGTTAAAAATTATTTTATTTATTTTCTTCAAACCACACAGTGACTTTTTTCTCTGACTTTCGAGAACTGTCCTTTATATACAATTTGGTTACTAACTAACTATCTATTTTACAGATTGTAAGTCACTACAAGAATTCGCGAATCCTAACGTACAAGTAAGGATTTTTACAAAGGACATGGCTATGTTCTGAACAACGAATAATAGAGTTAATTATCGAATTATTGCGTACAACACAAAATGTGAATTTGGTAGGAATTTTTGTAATAATGTCTATGAGATCAAGGAAATAGCGTACGATACAGATGTTTATGAGGCTCTACTGATAATCACATTTTTGGAATGCAAAGTAAGCATTTTTGTAAAGTATTCGTGTTATTTATTGGGGAAGACAGTGTTATATAAAGAATTTTGTGGGAATTTTTTACGAAGCGACATCAACGTTGTTGTTACAAGGTAACAATGTAAGAATTTCGTTGGTTGGCTCAGAACAATAGCATAGGGATAATTATTTTTAATATTTTTCGTTGCGATGGCTACAATATAAATTGACTTGAGATGATATTTATACAGTATAATCGACAGTTTGAAAACTATTCAAAAAATTGTAACTGTAACAGTTTTGATGAATGAAGTCATGATATACATTTCGTATTAGATAGACATTTTAAAGGAGTACGAATAGTTTTTCTTTAAACTTGTACTTGTTGGTCTATCTCACATGCAAAGCAAACATTGCATTTTTTCAAAATAGTGATTTTACCTTCATTCAGAACATACCTAAAACATTTGATATATTTAAATCGTTATTACTTATATAATTGGGGTATATTTAATAATTTTACCTTCATCTGCTTCGTTTAATACATGTAAACTGACGTTTGTTGAGTTATCATTGTTATCTATATCAAATTATGTGGAAACAAGCATTTTTTATCGATATCGATATCGATATTATAAAATATATACAGTAATAGTAAATTTACCCTTCGTTTTGAACATACGAACTGACGCTTGTAGAATTCGAATATTTGATATATTTGAAATTCGTTTTAATTGAATATAAAATAAGATATATTTATATAAATAAATACGACTATGAGAACTTTATCATGAATTCGTTTACAACAGATATAGTTAACCAGCTACAATAGCATAAATAACCCACTATTTAAATATCATTTTTACACAAATCCCCATTATAAAGTACCCGGTAGGAACTAATCAATTTTTAAGCCCAGAATTAAGAGACCCGGTACTAATTGCAAAATAATACGGTAGTAAAATTTCCGAATTCGTAGCATGTTGAAATTCATTTTTATTTGGTTATGATATCATTAATAAAGATATTCGTTCTGGATTGGATCTTTGTAAATTGCAAAATAAACTGGGCCGGCACGGCACACCATCAATTCTACTTCTTGGTATTGACTTGTTTAGTGTCTTGAGTAGATACTCGAGCACGATAGAGTAATTGAATTCAACTTCACACTGTTTCGTTTCATTATATTGTTTAGTTTTCTAACCAAGATTAAAAACTTGGGCACCGATGCACCGAATTCTGTTTTTCTCATTGTTACATAATGTTTTCTGATAACCTTTTCTGCAATAATACTCATTGTCCATAGGATTAAACCTTGTAAATGTTTTCTGATAACCTTTTCTGCAATAATACTCATTGTCCATAGGATTAAACCTTGTAAACCTTGTTCTTGTAGCTCTTGTAGCTCTTCACTGCTTTCAAGAACATTAAATAATATGCGCAGAATACTGTTGCTCGAAGCGATAACATCCAATATTTGCCAATAAACTCTCCATTCCTCGATATCTTCATTTAACAGGATTAACCCAACGATTTTCGTATATTTGCT